TGCTGTTGGTCCTTGCTGAAGGAACACAGCAAGGTCACAATATAAGGTTGCTAATCCCCTGACCATGGCTCCAACCCACCCAAAAACACTTGGCCCTAAGATGACCTCAAATTTCTTATCTCACACATCAAGCCTCAGAGAATTTTCTCGGAGCAGCTCAGCAGTAAGAGAACTCTCCCACCTCCAACTTCTGGTCACACTTTCTACCTGAACCCCTTCTTTGGCAATGGGCGTGTACCAGCTACAACTTGGCTTATCTTTGCCTGCCTGTTTCACTAAAGTGGGAGCTTCCAGACTCTAGAGACAGGCAGTTCTGGGTTTTAATCTACTTCTACTGCTTTCTATCTGCATAGTCTTTTTTAAAAATTGATTTCAGAGCCCTAACTGGTTTGGCTCAGTGGATAGAGCCTCGGCCTGCAGACTCAAGGGTTCCAGGTTTGATTCCGGTCAAGGGCATGTACTTTGGTTGCGGGCACATCCCCAGTGGGGAGTGTGCAGGAGGCAGCTGATCAATGTTTCTCTCTCATCGATGTTTCTAACTCTCTATCCCTCTCCCTTCCTCTCCGTAAAAAATCAATAAAAAATATATTTTTAAAAAATTGATTTCAGAGAAGTGGGAGAGGGGTAGAGAGATAGAAACATCAATGATAAGACAGAATCGTTGATTGGCTGCCTCCTGCACACTCCACACTGGGGATCCAACCTGCAACCCAGACATGTGCCCTGACCAGGAATCCAATCGTGACCTCCTGACACTCAATCCCTGAGCCACACAGGCAGGGCCTACCTGCATAGTCTTAAGCAAGCCACTTCATTTATCTGTGCTTCAGTTTTCTCATCTGGAAACCTCGTAATGTTGGCATTGGGCACTTGGAAGGCACTCATTAATTGGTAGCTAGCTCCCTTCAGCCTCCAATTGGTGTGTCAAGAATGCCTCAAAGAGCCTGCCCTCCCCCGAATGCGGTAGATTAGAAAGTCAAATCCTATATAATAAAAGCCTAATATGCTAAGTGTCTGGTTGTCCAGTCAGCCATTCAACCAATTAAAGTATAATCTATATATATAAAACCCTAAAATGCAAACAGACTGAACAGTGGAACAACTGAACAGCCAAACAACCGATTGCTATGATGTGCACTGACCACCAGGGGACAGACGCTCAACACAGGAGCTGCCCTTTCGGGGAGCAGGCCTAAGCCATCAGTCGGACATCCCTCGAGGGCTCCCGGACTACGAGAGGGCGCAGGCCAGGATGAAGGACCCCCCTCCCCCTGTGCATAAATTTTGTGCACTGGGCCTCCAGTGGAAAATATTAAAAAGTGCGGCCTTTTTACGAAGATGGTGCCGAAAGCTAAGAAGGAAGCCCCTGCCCCTCCCAAAGCCGAAGCCAAAGCAAAGGCTTTGAAGGCAAAGAAAGCAGTGTTGAAAGGCGTCCACAGCCACAAAAAAGAAAAAGAAGATCCACACGTCACCCACCTTCTGACGGCCAAAGACACTAAGGCTGCGAGGCAGCCTAAATACCCTCGGAAGAGCGCACCCAGGAGAAACAAGCTTGACCACTACGCCATCATCAAATTCCCCTGACTACCGAGTCAGCCATGAAGATAGAAGACAATAATAGACGTGTGTTCATTGTGGATGTCAAGGCCAACAGCACCAGATCAAACAAGCTGTGAAGAAGCTCTATGACATTGATGTGGCCAAGGTCAACATCCTGATCAGGCCTGATGGCGAGAAGAAGGCATATGTTCGACTGGCTCCTGACTATGATGCTTTGGATGTTGCCAACACAATTGGAATCATCTAAACTGAGTCCAGCTGCCTAATTCTAAATATAAAAATTTTACAGTGAAAAAAATAAAATAAAATAAAAAGTGCAGTCTGAGACACACAGAGAAAGGGCTTTCCTGGTCGAGCCCATGTCATGGGTGCCTGAGATCGGAAGTCATAGAATCCCAGACCATCACAACTGAAGGTTGAAGGATAAAGATGATGGCAGTTAAAAGCGGGAAATGTTTCTTTCTTTCTTTTTAAATATATTTTATTGATTTTTTACAGAGAGGAAGGGAGAGGGATAGAGAGTTAGAAACATCGATGAGAGAGAAATATTGATCAGCCGCCTCCTGCACACTCCCCACTGGGGATGTGCCCGCAACCAAGGTACATGCCCTTGACCGGAATCGAACCTGGAACCCTTGAGTCCGCAGGCCTACGCTCTACCCACTGAGCCAAACCGGCCAGGGTGGGAAATGTTTCTTAAAACTTACTCTGCATGGATGTTGGGACAGGTACCTTGCATGAATTCTCTCACTTAATCCTCATTGAAACCCTGTAGGGTGGGTATTACCGCCATTATATAGATTAAGAAACTAAGTAACTTGCCCGAGGGCACACAAGGCAGGAGCCAGTCCAAAGTCCATGTTCCATGCTCTTAGCTACCTAGTTGCTCTAATCTAACCCCTTTATTTTACAGATGAGGTTCAGGGAAGGGAAGTGTCTCACAGGAACTTTCACACAAAGGAACTGTAATAGGAGCATCCCTTCAGAGCGCCGTCTGGTCAAGAAGTTTTCAGAGAAATTCAGATTTAAGAAACACTTATTAAGTACCTGCATCATTTCAATTCATACTCAAAACAGCCCCCTCCAAATACTGCACGGATTAGAGGGGGAAACAGGCTCAAAGGGATCATTTACCCGCAAGTCAATTCAGCAAAAAACAAACAAACAAACAAACAAACAAACAAACAAAAACCGGTTTGGCTCAGTGGATAGAGCATCATCCTGCGGACTGAAAGGTCCCAGGTTCGATTCCGGTCAAGGGCATGTACCTTGGTGGCAAGCACAGTAGGGGGTGTGCAGGAGGCAGCTGATCGATGTTTCTCTCTCATCGATGTTTCTAACTCTCTATCCTTCTCCCTTCCTCTCTGTAAAAAATCAATAAAATATATTAAAACAAAACAAAACACACAAAAAACCGGTGGCATTTAGGTACCCTCCTCCGCCACTGGCTAGTTGCGCAGAGACCCCGCCCCCCTCGAATTAGCCAATGGGAAGCGGACGAGCCTGGTCGCCTGGGAAACCGCGTGACAACAAGATGGCGGTGCCGCGGGCCGGCTCCTCGGCCCTGCCCGGTGAGTCCCCACCAGGGTCATTTTGCCCGCGGAGTGCTCCACGCATGCCGGGCCTCGCCCCAAGAGCACCGAGGGCCCAGCTATCCCAGCGGGCGGCACCCGAGCAGGCCCCCCGCGTCCTGGGAGCGGATCCGGGTCCTGCCTACCATGGCCACGCGTGGAGGAGGCGGCGCGGCTCCCAGGGCGGGGTTAGGTGATGAAATTGGTCTCTCCGAGAGCACTAGAAAAAATGGAAACCCAAATGTCCACCAGTCCATGAATGAATAAACAAATGTGGTATGTCCTTATAATGGAATGTTGTTTGGGGATCGAGGGAGTGCTGGCGTGCAGATTGCCGGCCGACAGGCACTGGGGGCACCCGGACATGGGGGAGCCAACAAACAGGTCGAGTAGTGATGGAAGATGTCAGTCAAGCACAGTCTTGACTTGGGTCCCAAAGGTGTAGAGGCACAGGACACAGCTTTCCCCTCAAAGCCCAAGCCTTAAGGGGGAAACTGTGCAACCTTTAGGCGTCCCGGGCCTGATGAGGAAGACACAGTTTGCCCCCGAAAAGTCCCCAAGTGACATGGCTCTATCCTCAGGGACCCCAGGTCTGAGGGAATCGGAGACACAGCCCCGTGGTCAGGAGAGCCCAGACTGATGGGAAGATAGAGTCGTTGCTCTCAGGGGTCTCCTATCATCCTGGGAAAATTTATCTGGAGACATTGTTAGATTGGCGGTCAGGGGTCCTCAAACTACGGCCCGCGGGCCACATGCAAATACAAATATTGTATTTGTTCCCGTTTTGTTTTTTTACTTCAAAAGAAGATATGTGCAGTGTGCATAGGAATTTGTTCATAGTTTTTTTTTTAAACTATAGTCCGGTCCTCCAACGGTCTGAGGGACAGTGAACTGGCCTCCTGTTTAAAAAGTTTGAGGACCCCTGGCTGGCCTGTAGTGAGAATGGAAAAAGAGAAGTCAATTGTGGGCCATTGTGACAGCCCCAAAGAAGGCAGTGAAAGCCCCACTAGAATGGCCAGTAGTGGGCATAGGAAGGAGGAGTTATGTGTGAGAAACATGGGAGTTTTACCTGCAGGATTTGGTACCCGCTAGGATGGGATTAAGAGAGAAGGAAGGAGAGAAAAATTTTGTGGTTGGATGATGAGGTCCCATTAAGAAGGGGAAAGATGTTGGGTGTGGTTTGGGGACCAGGTCCCTCCCCCCTTTTTTTTCTATGATTGCTTTATTGAGATATAATTCACTCCTTTAAAATGTAAATTTCAATAGTTTCTAGTATATTCATAGGGTTGTGCAACCATCACCCCAGTGAATTTTAGAACTTTTCATCAGCCAAAAAGGACACTCTGTACCCTGTAGCAGTTACCTCCCATTTACTCCACTGCAGCCCCTAGCCCGAGGCAACCACTGATCTACTTGGTCACCATATGAAATGCACATTCTGTACATTTCATATAAATGGAATCATAACAATATGTAGTCTTCTGTGACTGACTTCTTTCCCTCAGCATAATGTTTTTAAGGTCCATTCACTTTGTAGCATGTATTTCATTCCTTTTTTAAAAAAAATTGATTTCAGAGAGGAAGGCAGAGGGAGAGAGAGATAGAAACATCAATGATGAGAGAGAATCATTGATTGGCTGCCTCCTGCACGCTTCACACTGGAGATGGAGCCCGCAACCCAGGCATGTGTCCTGAACCGGAATTGAACCGTGACCTCCTGGTTCATAAGTGAATGTTCAACCACTGAGCCATGCCGGCCTGGCCTCATTCCTTTTTTAAAATTGTCAAATACTATTCCATTGTAAAGTTATACCACATTTGTCTATTCATTCATTGATTGGTGGACATTTGGGTTTCCACTTTTTAGCTGCTGTGAATAATGCTGCTATGAACATGTATACAATTTTTTGTGTGGACATAAGTTTTCATTTCTCTTGGGTATATGCCTAGGAGTGGAATCGCTAGGCCATAGGTAAGTGTGTTTAATCTTTTAAAGAAACGCATGCTGTTTTCCACAGCAGCTGCACCATTTTACAGCCCCACAAATTACAATCCAATTCCCTACATCCTCAACAAGACTTAATTTCTGTCTTATTTTATTTTTTCCAACATCATTAATTGCCTCTATGCCCACTTCCACTTCCACCCACCCCAATTTCTATCTTTTTGACTAGTTTCTTTTGAGGGGGTCACGGTGGTGAGAACTTGGAGAAAGAAGGGACAATCAGGTCTGGTGGGAGATTATGCAGTCCCTGTTTTAGGGACTAAAGGCACAGTGCCTAGGGCTTATTAGCATAATGAAAATGCTCTAAAATTGATTGTGATGAAAACTCTGTGATATGGGTAACCCTCCCTGATACTATTCCCATCCCCACTTTATACAAAGGAACCGAGGTGGGGTTATATTGGTGAATGACAGAACCTGTCTAGAACCTGGATTCTTTTTTTTTTTTTTAATTTTTAAAAAATTTATTGATTGATTTTAGAGAGGGAGAGGGAGAGAGACACACAGACACATTGATTTGTGTCCCACTTACGTATGCATTCATTGGTTGCTTCGTGTATGTGCCCTGACTGGGGATCGAACTTGCAACCTTGGTGCATTGGGGTGGCAGCCTGGCTTCTTGACCTCCCTGCCATGTGGACTATGTCTTGGTTGAGTCCTGCCCTTGGGTTGCTCCCCTCTGGTTCTGAGATGTTGGGGTAGCACCTGGGCTCTGGTGGGAGGGGAGGGGACACCTAAACTTTGTGTTGACCAGCTCCTTGATGGATGGACAAAAGCCCCAGGCCTCTTGGGTAGTCTCATTTCTGGGCTCTAAATTTGGGCAAGTCCCAGGCTTCTGGCACATTTCTGCAGCCTGCTCCATCCCCAATGCCTGTTCCCAGGACAGAGGCCTCTGGGTTCCAAGCAGAGAGCGGGGTCTCTGGAGGAGCAGGTGGATGTTAATCACAGGGCTCCTGAGGCCCAGCTGCCTCCAGAATCCTCCGCAGGAGCAGTGGGAAGAAGTGAGGCGATACCCCCTGGGTGGTGTTCCTTTTTGGGAACGTAACCAAGGAAGAGAAAGTTTCACTTCCTGGTCCTGAGGGAGTGACTCCAAGGGCTGACTTCTTTTTTTTCTCCTTTGTTAATCCTCACATAAGGATATTTTCTCCTTTGCTTTTTTAGAGAGTGGAAAGGAGGGAAGGAGGGAGAGAAAGAGAGAGACATAGATAGAAGAGAGACACATCAACTGGTTGCTTCCCGACCTGGGCCGGGGCATCGAACCTACAACCCAGGCATGTGCCCTTGACTGGGAATAGAACCCATAACCCTTCGGTCTGACTTCTTTTTTTCTACTCAGGGAGTTCCTGACAACTAAGATCTAGAAGAACTATGAGCTCACCTTTGTCCTCCCTTGGCAAAACCAGGAAGGTGCCCCTGCTGTCGGAACCTGTGAACTCAGGGTAGGAGGCTGGCCCCCGGGCCCTTGGTGTCCACGCCCCTGCCTCTTCCTTGCTCCTCCCATGGACAAGAAGAATGACTCCTGGTGTCTTGGGGAGGGCAATGAGGAGTCACGTAGCTTTCCCTGACCACCTTATCCTTCTCTACCTTCTGAGAGGCTCTCTGTTGTGTGAAGCGCACCGTGGGTTGTGCCCTCTAGTAAGGTTTGGGCTCCATGCAAGTAGCTTAGCAAACACTGGTGGTGCACCTGTTCTGGGCCCTGCCATGTGCTGGGCTCTCAGTACAGGGAATTCTTCACATCTGTCTAGCATTTTCATCTTTCCAAAGAAAATATATTCCCCCCCCCCCCCCCCCAGAGAGGAAGGTAGAGGGAGAGATAGAAACATCAATGATGAGAGAGAATCATTGATTGGCTGCCTCCTGCCCACCCCCTACTGGGGATAGAGCTCATAACCTAGGTATGTGCCCTGACGGGGAATCTGTCCTTGTTCATAGGTCGATGATCAGCCACTGGCCGAACCAAATAATTTTTTTTTAACTTCCTTGCTCTTATGAACAGCACTTAAATCATTCGTAGACCAAGGGAATCCAGAGAGGTTGAGAGGGAGGCCTGGGGTCCCACACCATTTCAAAGCAGAGCTGGGGCTGGGCTCCTTGACTACAGGACTCTGTCTTCCACCCAAGACTCTGCCCTCCAGCTCTTCCCGTCCTTCTCCACTGGGAGGAGGTGGATACCCTGAAGCCAGCATGGGATTGGGGGGTGGGTGTCCTCAGGAGGCAGGGGCCCACCCTCCATCACCTTCGTGCTTGGCTGGGGGCTTGGTGCCCAGGGCCTCTCCCCGATGACATTCCAGGGGGTCCTAACGTGTCTGTCTTCCTTCTCCTCCCTGCCCGGATTCCCAGAAGGCGAGGGATAAAACTCTACGGAAACGGTAAGTGAGGGCTCTGCCCTTGTGTCTTCCTCACCTCCCGTCTGCCATCTCTCCTTGGGGTTGGGCAGATGGAGAGAAAGCATGATGAAGACTTCCGTCAGCCAGAGCAGCTGGCCCAGCCTCAGTTTACCGGCAGCTCCCACCCGCCCTGAGGACAGGGCTTCCTCTGGGCAGCTCTCAGTAGGAGGCCCACACCCCTAGCAGAGAGTCATCCCTAACACTGGAACCCCTCCTCCCACCTTGGGGTTGACTGGTGAGCGCTGAGAATCCAAACCCCACCCTCCTTCCCCAAACAGCCTCCTCCAGCCCCTAACACCCGTTTCTCCCAGAACCCCTGTCCTCACATCACTACTCTGACTCCTGCAGGCTCAGATCTTTGCATCTCAACCCCACTCTTGCCCCCACCGTGGTCCCCCAGGAGCCAGGCTGGGAGAACTCTAGGAAGAGGCCTGTTCTCGTTGGATCCGTGCTCGCCAACATCCCGTCTTCTACCCTCATTGGTTTGGGGGGACAGAATCCCGGGCCCCAGCTTGCTCTGGGCCTTAGCCCCAGCAGTGACCTGGGCATCTGTGTCTGCAGAAGAGGCAGTGAACGTGCTGAATGATGGACAAGGCTCAGAAGAATCGTTCTCTGTCCCTTCCTGCTATGGCGGCATAGGAGCTCCTGTGGGTAGGCAAGGTGAGAGCAGAGGCCCAAAGGGGTCTGGGTTCCCAGCAGCAGGAGCGGGCCCCAGAGGAGAGAGGCCCAGAGGGGCATGCACCTGCTCCCCCGCCTGCTGGATCTGAGACAGCTGTTCCCATTTCTGGCTGACTGTGGCCATGGGCCTGCCTCCCCAGACCCGTCCAGGGCCGGGTTTGGCATAAAGCTAAGTGGGCCCCACTCTTAGCTCAGGAGGTGTGGCCACGCCCCAGGCCAGGCTGTGGCTAGTGCCTCTGGAGTGAACCTGGCTGGAGTCACCATCAAGTGTAATGTCAGCGTGTCCAGGATCCAGGGTCAGAGGAGTGAAGGGCCTGAGGGTGAAGCTCTGCCTTCAGCTATCTGCTTCCTGCTTTGCAGAGCTCTGGGCAAGGCCCAAAGTCCCCTAGGTAGCCCTCCTCGCCTGGTCCACACCATCCCCGGGGGCTTGGTGACACTGCGATCATGTAGGTGCCTAAAGGGGGACGGGGCTCATCAGGGCATCTTTCCAGAGGAGGGAGGATGGATCAGGCCGGGCAGAGGGGAGACCTGCAGACGGGAGGAGCTGGGCGGAGCGCTGGGCAGGGGCAGGGGCGGAGCTGGGCGTCTGGAGGAGCTGGGATGCAGTTAGAATCCTCCACTAGCTGTGTATCTCAGATAAGCAACTTCCTTCTCTGCGTCTCCATCCCGTCTTCTGTGAACTGGGCCTGGGGACACCCAGGTCAGCATGTTGAGGTGAGGATTCGCTGAGGGGATCCTCCACCAACACCCGTCCGCTTAAATGGTGGGGAGAGGGGAGTTGAGATGGAAAAGGAGGCAGCATGGGCCTGGCCCCACAGCCACTCGGTCACAAAGCCAGTGTCCTCCCAGCGCGGGACACTCAGTAGTAATCACAGCGAGCAGCTCCTCCACTTAAAGGGCTGGTCACTGCTCTCCGTTCACTTCTCACCAGTGTCTGTGCCCTCAGGGCTCACCTGTCCTCTCACCTCTCTGCCCAGCAACAGTCCACATGGTTTGCTGTTCCCTCCTCAGAGCACCCGCTCGTACCGTTGGACAAATTACTGACTCTCTCTGTGCCTCAGTTTCCTACAGCAGCTCATTTCCTCAGAGGCATGTTGTAAGGGTTGCACAAGTTGACATGTGAAAGCGCTTAGAGTGGCCCCTCTTATCTAGGTGACAGCTGTTGTTATTACTCTTATTTCCACTCCTGGGGATCCCCCTCCCCCTCCCAGGACGCCCGTACCTCAGCCTCTGCCCTAGGCATGGGCTCTAGGACTCTGTCTGGTTGGCAGCCGCTGGGTCCCACAATGGGGAGCTGCTGAGCACCATGGCAAGGAAGGTGCAGGATCTGGAGGAGCAGGTGAAGGACCAGAACAACCAGATGCTGTCCAAGGTGGGACCCCCGTGGGGACACGGCCAGGGTCCGGTCTGAAGGGTGGGGGGGTCCAGGCTGGTGTGACCAATGAGGCTACTACTGCAGTAGGTCAGGGTGGGTGGGTTCTACCCTGAACTGCCCACACTGGACTGCCCAGTTGAGGGCCAGCTGTGGCCTGAGCCTGATGGGTCCCTGTGACCTGAGTAGAGAGGCTAGGGGTGTTCTCCACAGCTGGGCAAGGCCCGTAGACCTCAGAGTTCTGGGGCACTCAGGGGACCTCCACACCTTTCCCTCCTCGGTGGCACCTCAAGGGTCATCTGAGGGGCAGGAGCAGTGGTTATGCCAAAGGGGGGAAAGGGCTTTAAGCTCCCTGGTGCCCCCACAGAGGCACACATTCCAGATCTTCCCTCTGGAAGGGGCTCCCTTGGGCTCTTGGAACCACCAGGCCTGCCTGCCCCCCACCCCCCACCCCGTCTTGTTGCTGCAGGATGAGAAGATACAGTCCCTCGAGGAACTGGTGGCGACCCTGCAGGAGCAGAAGGGTAAGAGGCTCTCTCAGTGGCTGCTCGGCCCTCCCGTTGTACCTCCCCTGGGCCCCAAGGCATCGGTGGTGGGGTCTGGACAGCTGAGCCCAGAGGGGCAGTGACGCCTTTAGGATGGTGCCCTCCAACGCGGGACTGAGTCCCTGAGTGCAGGCGCAGCCTCCGCAGCCCCGCTTCAGGGGGGCGGCGACCTCCTCGGGGTCAGGAGGGCCGCCCTTGTCAGGGTCAGGGAGAGGGGCTCGAGGCCATTCTCAGGGGATTCCCCGGAGTCCTCGAGGGGCAGCTTCTTCAGACGACCCTCAGGGCAGAGCTCTGGTCCAGGCAGCCTGGCAGCCTCCAGGCTGGGGCAGCGGAACCCCTCCCCATCTCTCCTGAAGGCAAGATGTCCCTGCAGCGGCAGGAGGAGCTGGAGAGCCTGTGCGAGCATCTGCGGCGGCAGGTCGGGGAGATGGAGGTGAGAGAGGCAGTGGCCAGGGCTGTCTGCCCTCAGGAACGGGGTCAGAGCCCACCTCTCTGGCCCCTCGCCACACCCCGCGCCCGGCCCTGCTCTGGTTTCCCTCCCAGGACTGACCGGGAGCCAGAAAGGTGTCCAGGGTGGGGCACACTCCTTCCGGCCTGGGCTTCCTCTTCAGTTTCACCTTGAACCACACTCCCCTCCAGCCACGGGCCCTGCCTCTGGCTCTTTGACTACACTGAGCAGTTTCTCACCTCAGGACCTTGGCCCATGCTGATCCTTCTGCCTGAAATATTTCCCCACCTCCCCCTAGCGAGGTTCCACTCATCCTCAGTCTCAAATCACGGCAGGGCCTCCCCCAGGAGCCCCTCCCCGACTGAGCAGGGCAGGCTGTGTCCTGTGCTTCCTTCGCGCCTCATCTCTCTCCTCCCTCCCCCAGGGGACCTCGAACTCCACCCCCCTGTTCATTGCTGTACGCCCAGGACCTAGCATGATACCGGCCATATGTGTTCACTGAACTGAACGTGACTCAGTCACCCCGTGTCACTTTCCTTGCCCCGTTCATACAGCGAGGCTCACATGTCAGGGAGGGTCCTGGGGGGCATGCTTTGTCAGGGCCCTCGCTCTCTCGCCGGCCCCACCAGAGCCTCTCCCTCTCCCTGTAGGGTTGGCTTCCAAAGCCCCAACCTGATTTCAGGCGGCAGCAGCAAACCCACAGGCCTGGCCGCAGCTGCGCGCCCTTCCCCCAGCCTGTTCATACCTGGCTGGTGGGGCTTGTGGGGCTTCTCTGAGCAGCTGCCACAGGGCAGAGGGTATGGCAGCCCCTCTGTTCATATCATTCGCACATTTATTGCTTCATTAACTTAACCAACTCATACACAGTATCCCCTATTTCCCAGCCCCTGGGAGGTGGATGTGGTCCCGCCCCCATGAGGCTGAGAGTCTGGAAGGGACAGAGACATAGACAAGTGCACAGGAAGGTACACAGCACACAGATATGATGACATTGTTCAGTGGGTGACACAAGAGAGATTTGGTCCACTCTGCGGGTGACCTTGGGCAAGAGATCTAGAGGTTGTGAGGGGACCTCAGGGGAAGAGAATCCAGGCTGGAGAGATGAGCAGCTCCACCTCCACCCTAGAAACTTGGCTCATGGTGGGTGGTTGTGGGAGCAAGAGGGAGAGCCAGACGAGCTGTGGGGATCACATCACCGAGGGGGGCTCAGCCACAGAGAGGGGTTGGATTCTGTTCTGCAGGAATGGGGAACCACAGGAAGGTTTCAGTTAGAGGAGGAGGTGGGGGAGGGGGGGCCGGTAGAGTCTCAGCCCGAATTGTCCAGGAGGGAGCTGACCGAGGCTCGGACGAGGGTGGCAGCAGAGGAGACCAGTGGAGTGGACAGATCTGAGCTGCCTGGGAGGTGGGGCCCACAGGGGCGGCGAGGGATGAGGCCCAGGTGGGGGGTGCTGTTGGCCGAATGCGGAAGACCTGGAGGGGAAGAGGTTGGGAGGTGGGGGCAGGGAGCGGTGACCGTTTGGGTCAAGTTCATTTTGAGATGCCTGTTCGACATCTCAGTGGGGACGGTTGGAAATGTGAAACTGAAAAGGAACCGCCTGTGTTACAAGAGGTGAAGCCGGAAGTGTGCCCACTGGGTTTGGGGGCCGGGCAGGTTGCTGGAAGCTGCACCTGAGCCATGGGCTGAGGAGAGAAAGGGAGATGAGGAACCAGCAGCAGGAAGTGTGGACAATTCAAAAGTTTTCCTGTGGCAGAGTTGTGAGACCCAGCCCTAGGGAGGCTGTGTGTGGGTGGCGACATCCTCCGGGTCCTGCCCCTCCTCCCACTCAGGCCGCGTCCACATGGCTCCCCACCGCCATCCTGGCTGCCCTCGGAGTTCTTGTGCCAGGCACTGTGCCGGGTACTTGATGTGAATTACCTTGCTGAGTCCTCCTCACAAGCTTATTGTGCAGGTGCTGTCACCTCTGCTGTGTAAGGAGGACCCTGAGGCTCTAGGACAGTGGTTCTCAACCTTCTGGCCCTTTAAATACAGTTCCTCATGTTGTGACCCAACCATAAAATTATTTTCGTTGCTATTTCATAACTGTAATGTTGCTACTGTTATGAATCGTAATGTAAATATCTGATATGCAGGATGGTCTTAGGCGAACCCTGTGAAAGGGTCGGTCGTGCAACCGCCAAAGGGGTCGGGACCCACAGGTTGAGAACCGCTGCTCTAGGAGGTCACGTGGCTTCCCAAGTTTACAGCCACAAAGTGGCCAAGACCCCGAGCCCACCCGCTCTGCCCAGCCAGCTCTGGGAGCTGAGGCCTGAGGCCGGGGACTGGGCCGATGCCGCCTCTTTCCTGGAAAGGGACTGAGCTGACAGTGCCCCCGCATCTCCCCCTCCAGCGGTTCCTCGGTGACTATGGTCTGCAGTGGGTGGGCGAGCCCAGGGACCGTGAGGACTCGGAGGACATGACAAGCTCAGAGGATGACACGGACTGGATGACAGCCAAGAAGTTCTGGAAGCCAGGTAGAGTAGGGGTGCACCCAACCCCTCCCACAAAGGGAATTCTCCAACAGCTTCCTTTTGGCCAGAAGCATCCAGAGGCCGGCTCATTCCTGCCCCTGCCTCCACACACAGGTGCCCCCCCACACCTCACCCCTGACACCCGACAGGCGGGAAAGGCCTCGGCCTCCATCACTGACCACCTAACCTGCCGCCACTTTCTCCCTCTGGTCTCCCCTCAGACTCTGCTTGTTCATCTTTCAAAGGCCCAGAGACACAGGTGTAATAAGACCTCATTTTTCTCAGGCATCATAGTTTACAAAATGTCGTCCGTCCAGAAGTTGTTGCTTTTAAAAGCTGGGCCCCAGTTCCAGGCTCAGCCCCCTCTTGTGCTCCCTTTCCAGGTTCATTCATAGCCAGACCATTGAAAGCCACCTGCTTCTATGGGACTCACCACTTTTTTATTTTTTAAATTGATTTGAGAGAGAGAAAGGGAGAGAGAGAAACACTGATTTGTTGTTTCACTTATTTATGCATTCATTGGTTAATTCTTGGTGTATTGGGATGACACTCTAACCAAATGAGCTACCCGGCCAGGACACCAATATTTTTTTAATATATTTTATTGATTTTTTACCAAGAGGAAGGGAGAGGGATAGAGAGTTAGAAACATCGATGAGAGAGAAACATCGATCAGCTGCCTCCTGCACACCTCCTATTGGGGATGTGCCTGCAATACATGCCCTTGACCGGAATCGAACCTGGGACCTTTCAGTCCGCAGGCCAACGCTCTATCCACTGAGCCAAACCAGTTAGGGCACACCACTTTTTATTTAAAAAACATATATA